CTGATGCAACATCATAGTTTTGTGTGTGGAGTCATAACAAAGTCGTTAGTTTAATTGGATACGCAATCCCACTGATCCGATCGTTATAATTTTATTTACGTTATTGACTTCGCTATTGAAACGGATGTATTTCGTGACAAACAATTCATCGCTTTACTCTCCCTCTCTCTTCCCCCTCCCCACTCCCCCCTCTCTGTCTCTCGCTTTCCCTCCTTCCCTCCTTCTCTCGAAAAAGATAAGCGATGATAGAAAAAGAAAAAACTTTCAGCACTTGGAAAAATTCTCGCCTATCCAAAACCGAGATTAACTCGGAGATGCAGCTGCAGCTAGAAAGGAGTTTCCCGCCGCAGAGCTTTTCTCTTTGCGCTTCTAGATAAAGAAGATAGTGGGAAAGAGAGAGAAAGAGAGAAAGAGCGTACGAAGAAAATAAAAAAAGGCAATGTGGTGTGTTTCAGTTGTGAAAACGCTTGCTCCTCATAAATCTTCCTTCACGGTACTCTTTCGCATCATCCTTCATGTTCTAAAATAAAATTAATCTCACTGTCTATCCAACAAGAATGTCGTCGTGACGTTTTTTTCAATAAAATAATCAAAAGAATAAAACACCTTTCTCAGAACTTAATGAAACGTTTGTTCGAAAAATCTCCTTGTAACAAAATTACAACCTGGGCGCTAAAAATAAAACTTGTATTCGAAAACGAAACATTTATATTATATTCACTTACTCTTATATCAATTTTACGATTAAACTGTTATAATTTTTTCGAAAGTTACGTAAATATGTTACATGACGGATATAAATTGTTCAGTAGTCTAATAGTCGAAAAGATCATCATTCTACGTACAAAAATTCCGCGTTCATGACGCGTAACAGTTTTTTTTTTGTAAACGTTACGTGCTTCGAGCACGAAAAGAGACAAATAACTTTTGTACATGTGTAGTTTAGTGATACTTTTTCCTGCATACTTCGACGAAATGTCGAGTGATAGTTTAATAGAAAAAAGAGAGAGAGAGAGAGAGAACAAACGAAAAAATGCTCGAAATGGATGCGCGGGATACGGTCAATACAACTTTCTACGTGCGTCAGTTGCAAAAAACGCTTGTATGTCACGTATCACCTGACTTCATGCCGGAACAATTCATGAAAACTAAAATTAAACCGGGCCGGAGACCACGGGAGAAAATCCTTTCGATCACACGGTACATTTCGGGGTGAAAATATTCAAGTGCCGACAATGACGCGATTTGTATGCAACTGTGGTAGAAAAGCGGCTGGCCGAAACAAATCACATTGTTCCAATATGAAAAAATTTTTATAAAATTAGTGGAAATATGATAAAGATCGTAGCTTTTATACAATTTTTTCTTTAGCTAAAATAGTCCAGATTGATTAATATTTAATTTTTCAACACTTAATTCATAATCGTTTCATTTCACTATTCATGTTATCGAGTTAAGAAACGTTGACGTATTGTTTTTATCAAGAGAGCGCAAGAAAGCGATGTAGTAAATATAAATACTTTGGACTATAAGAATTTTTGGATAAGTGAGATACTAGAATCTCCTAGAATATATATTGTATATAACGTATATAAATAAAACGTACGATGATGTTAATAAAAAGGAAATAAAGAGGGAAGAAGTCAATTCTTATATATTGGATTAACTTAAAAAAGAAAAAAAAACTGGTCATTTATCACAAATTGCTTTGGCCAAGCTACTCTCCCAATGGAAATGAAATTAATGTTTAGAACTTGACTTGATGAAAAAGATCCTATAATCTTAAAAGCTTTCTTGCTATTACATTCGGGAAAAGAATACAAAGCGCAGATGAAGAGAACATAACAGACAAACGATATTTATGCACTGCATAAGAGTATCTTAATAAAAAAGGATACAAAGAGAGAGAGAGAGAGAGAGAGAAGATAATTCAAGAAATAAATAAATATATATACTATATATAATTCATACAGATATTAAATTTAATTTTAGATTTACGTTGACTGCGTAAAACATTTAAATTTATTTATATAAGAGAAAAAAAATTACAATAAAATTATAATAAATAAATTATAATAAAAGATGTAGTATAAAAATAAAATGTAGGTATATAAAAGAAAAAAATCAAAGAATTGTTATTTAATTAATTAACTTTATTATTAAAGATTTATTATTAATCTTACGAAATCCAATTTTTGATATAAAATAAAAAAAGTATACGCTATAAGTTAAATATTAAAATTAGATTACGTCAGAAGTCAAAACAGCTAAAAAAAGAGAACAAACGGATAAAAAGAGAAAAAAAGAGTAAGCTTAAAATTGATGGAGGTGCAAGATCGATATGTAGATAAATAGATACATAGACAGATGAATAGATAGGTTGATTGATGGATACGTGCTTTGTATTGTTTCGAATAACCGCCCGTTAACACAAATACAATTTTTTCACTTTGATACATATATGTATCAAAATAAAAAGCTTAAAAACCAAGCTATATAATGATGTCAATATCATTAAGAAAATTAATTTAATTAATCGACTACACGTTTTTTATCAAAGTCCAAGAAAATCAGAAATGTGCTATGTATTTTTAACATATTATAAAATATGTTAAAATATTTAAAATACATTTATTCGTTTACTTATTTTTAAAAGTAATAAAGGCACAATAAAAATGAAAGAATCATTGTAAATAGTAAAAGAAGAAAAATTGAATAGAATGTAATTGAAAAGCACGTAAAACGGGCGCTGGACTTGTCGCATCACTCGACTAAAAGTCATGCGCTTTACGAATGGTCCATCATTGACAATCTCGGCACTATCAATTATCCCGTCTTTCCGTGACCTAATCGACGCCTACGGTTATAGTCGCGCTGCGCTTACCGAAACTTTTCCATTTCCATCCAATGTCCTCCTCGCTTCTTTCTTTTGCGTTTTCATTCGCTGGAGCATTTTATTCTCAATATAAGGACAAGAAAAAGAGTAATCAAGATGAAAAGAGCGAAGTATCCTTTCAGTCATTTGACGCATACGACTTTTTTAGCTTACCAGCTTTCAAACTTGTTAATCCGCGATTTCGATCTGCTCTCTGGTATTCTAATTCGACATAAACTTCATTGATATCGCGAACAATAATATGCAAATCGTGAAGAAACATGAACACACTACATAGAAACATGATAAATTTATTAAATTTGAAGTATAATTTAATTTATAATATTTTTAGAATCTCATTTTAGACCCCGTACATGTGAAAACACAACCAATACGAACTAGAAATTAAATGCCTATAACGATCGAAGCTGGATCTGTAATGCTTAAAGATCTTAATAATTAAATATAAATAATTCAATGTGAATTATATATATGTTTATATTATACATATGTACATGCATATACATATATCATATTTGAACTACACGCGGAATTGGTTTTCCGGATTTATAAACGCAATTAAACTACTGTAATAACATATACTATAATATTTTATTTTAAGAGCCGTAAATTTATTATACTATATCTATTACAAATAGATATGATATTATTTAAAATAAAATCATATCTATTTATATGTTATGACATTATTATTCAAATTGACGAAAATGGTGATTCTTTTATTAGATACTTCGAAATGTAGATTTGAATAATACGTAAATATATTACTATTCTATAAATTGTGGTCGGAGATGATTATTCTTTTATATAGAAGAATTATTTTGAGAGTAGTGGAATAGGTTATAATATGTTCGTTTTCGACGCATTATTAAATCGTTCATGTCTAAATAAGGTTTAATAAACTGATTAAATTCTTATATACTCAACAGTTTATCGTTTAATCACTGGCCAATACGTAGTTTTATCGTGACTTATAAGGATGTATATAGATGTTCTCCAAATCTCAAGGGAAATTTAGCGCGGCAAAACCGGCGAAAAAAATCGACCGCTAAGGTTTCTGATTTAAATTTGACTATTTGTAAGTTTCATAACATTCACGTCCATTTGGCTTCGTTACTTTAATTATACGATACGTATTCAATGAGAAATTATATAATCATTTGCCGTTCGCAAACAAGTTCTGTGGGTCGGCGTTTTTTTTTTTTCCCAATATATTCATGAGAATTAAACATTGTCGTCCTCCAGTAAAGTCTGGACGCGTGTAAATTGATAGGAACTGTTAAATGCTTGCCATAATTACGTCATTAATGATAAATCGTCTGCCAGCCCAATTAAATTAAATTTATGAACATAGTTACGAGAACTTGTTTCTCCTTTGTTATATTATATAATATACGTGAAAAATCTGACATTCTAATATTAACTATTATTTTTATAAGTTCGGAATAATGAACTAAAAAGATAATAAATCAATGGAAAAAAATATAATGTTGCAAATTAAATTAAACTTGTGTTAAACATTTCTATGACTATTTTTATTCTGCCAAGGGCTTTAAATAATAAAACTTTAATATTGAGATAATATACTGTGTAAAAATGTAATATATACACTATGCTCAAAAGTTTCAGTTCACTTTTCATTTATGGAAATTTTGTAATATAAAGAATACAATAGGAATATAGTTTGCATGCATTATGTTTTTTAATTTATCATTACATATTTTCACTTAAATTAGAAAAATAACTTAGGTTTTTCAGATTTTTCGCTTCTTCAAGCTTAATCTTCTTGGGTTTTGATATAACAGAACTCTCTTGGCATGCTATCGATAATTCTTCAAGTATCTTAATTAAAGACTTGTGTTTAAGAGAATCTTAAAACCGTCTGTATTACTAACTAAACCATACAATTTTTGTATAACAATTACTTTTTTCCTCTTGTATAGATTCGAAAATTCTTTTCCAGGATTAAAATACGTGCATTAATATGTGTCTGTGAGGTGAAGCTTATGCCGAGAACATAAAAAAATTTCAATTGATATCTCCTCTTTACTATTTTTTAGTCCAATATGGAACTCTTGAGGTGTTACATCGTAACAACATTTGCTTCATATAAAAGCTGTGCAATCTGTATTTACAAAATAGTAGTCCAACAGATTAGTACTTTGCACGAAGAAACAAAGTTCTTTTTAGAATTGGACTCAGATGTCTAATTAAAACGTTATACAAAAATTACGTATGTGTGCGCGAGATATTGATACAATAGTATGTAGTGATTATCAGTGACACGTAAATCTATGTGTAAGTCCTACTTACACACACTGTAACTATAATCGTCTTTAGGATCCCCTTAATCTGGCGCTTAATTTGTAGGAGAATATATGTAGGGGTATACTGATTCCACTCTCTCTTATTGTCATGATATCCAATCGTCATGATATCCAAATGTTTATCGGTATCTTTTAACCGATATATGTATAAGGTATACTCAAAAAAGAACATTTTAATTTTAAGATAATAAAATGTTTCATTCTTTGTCTCCGTTTTTTAAACACTTAAAGATGTTTTATACGGAATTAAATATTTAAATTGTTTGTATTAAAAAGAAAAAATATATTCGTCGCTTCTTCTCATGTAATCTTATCATAAATTACAAATTTTTAAACCACATTTTGAATCATGAATTCTCGCGGTAATTGAAATTAATATAAATGATTAATAACGGAAAGGATTGTAAAACAGAAAATCATGGCTAATGCAAAATAAATTCGGTATCTCGTAAAATAATTATTGGCTTCCGCAGATTTCGCGTCAGTTCTCTTTCCTCTCTTCGATCTTTTTATGAGGACATCATGATCGGATCAGAATGGACCCTTTACGTGTGTACTTCTCCCCTCGTTCCTACGATTCCCATTCGACGGAGATTTGTCCTATTCCCCTTCTTCTCCCTCCAGTTTTATGACTAATGTCGACTGGTTAGATACGAGAAAAGTTCATGGAACCTTTCTACAAGGATTAACGCAAAGTCGAATTTCCTAGATGGAAAGAAAATCATTCTTCGAAGAGGATATAATCGGTGAATTCTTCACTTCTTCACTTCGGAACAAAAATGATCAATCTGACAAATTATTATACTTTATCACAGGTACACACTGCATCACAAATATCATATACGACAAATGAGTAAATATAATAATTAAAATATATAATTATAAAAAATGAAGAATATAAAAAAGGAACAGAGACAGAGAGAACAATATGACAACACAAATATTGTTTTTCGTTCTTACAGCTTCTTGCATTTCTTTAATCCACATTTGTCATTTTGTAATCGTGGTTTAACGTTATAATTTGTCATAATTTATGGGATTTTCGTTATTGTTCAATAAGAGGAAATTTCGTACAATTGTAATGATATTGGCGGCATCAGAATTAAAATTGGGATATTAAATGGCGACATAATTTGACAACAACGGAAAACGCGCAGCATCACACGTCGATCGTACTGGGACATTTAATTAAACGTGTACCATCCGTGGATTTTATCGTGGCGCGTCGGCTGCGTCAAATGTCACTCAGGTGGCAAGTAATCGCGATATAATCGTGACAGCGGTATAATCAAACGCCGGATCATTAATTTGCGAATTTTGTAATTTGCAGGATCGTGGGTATACGTGGCTCTACGCTGCGATATTCGCCGACACGACGTGACGTCGCGAAATTCAATAATCGTACGTATATCTTTGCCAGTTTATAATTAGTGTATAACGTTAATAAGACGTAACAGATATTACATCTATCGTGATAATAATAAGCAGCGTTATTAATTTTACTGTAGTATTCCTACACTACAATAAATAGCGTTATTAATTTTACTGTAAGTATTCCTACACTACAATTTCATGTTAAAGGAAATTACAATATATGTAGGTATGTGTGCGTGCGTGCGTGCATGCGTGATTGGTTTTCCGTGAAAATAACACATTTTACCGCATACAAAAATGGATTTACACTTTTAGACGTGTAATATAATATAGTACCACTTTTACACGGAAAACTAATCATACATATACAGGGTGTTACATTTTAAGTGATATGGTCGATTATCTCGCGAATCGATGATTTTATTGAAAAATTTTTCGAACGAAAATTGTATGAAGGGGGTCACATGATGGAAATGTGGACTTGACCTTAAGTGACTTTGTCAAAATCAGGTTAAGGTCATTAATGTTTTTTTAAATGGAAACCCCTATTTTTTTATTACATATTCTTGTAGCTTATCTCGAGAGCTTTCCAAAACATATATTAAGTTAACTATAATAATTAAGTTCATTTTCATTAATCCTGAATGTTGTTCAGGATCATGTCCTGGACAACATTTGGCAAGATCAAGACCACTGGAGATTATTCCTTTTATTTTCATTTTTATTGCACTAAAAATTCATTTTCGAAATTTCAAGATAACATTCACCTTCTTTATAAAAAAAATGTCAAATATCACCAAAAAAATCATTTTTTACATATTAAACCTCAATTATCTTGGAGATCTGACGTGCTAGAATTTTTTTGCTTGCGGCAGTGTTTTTAGCATCCAAAAATCTATAAGAGACACATAGTCCGGTCCAAAGTAATTTTTTGCTGTAAACTAGTGTAATTAATATAAATAAAAATATATTATATTTATCTGTTGCAAAAATAAATATAATACAAGCTAGTTTTATTTCAATATTCTTACTTTTTCATTATTAATTATTAAACGTCATTTATTAATTATTAAATGTTCAATTCTTTTTTTATATTTCTTTGTTGATAAATTATTAAAAAAATAAGTATTAATAATTCCTTTCATTAATCTTATACTTTTAATTATTTTAGTTCATAAATTCGATACTTTTAAAAGCGATAGATACGACTTAGCAGATCTATATAGATATGATTTACGTTTTTATAAGTACGATCGATTGCTTAAATCATACCTTTTGCAGTAAGTTACAAAAAAGCTTATAATAAATTAATTTGTTATTGAGGAAAGATTAAACATGTAATAATAGATAAATATATACCTGAAACTACAAGCTACAATTTCCAATGTTTATCCGCATATAAGTGGAAAATATAATAAAAAAAATAATTGAAGTGATACACATTTGGCAAATCTCCCTGTATAAGTGTATGATTTTTCTTCTTTCTCTTTAAAATTCTTTTAATACGAAATATTATAATATTTTTATTAAATTTATTTTAATTTATTAAAATTTGTTATAATAAATGTGAAATTGGTATTTATTGTAATAAATATTATAATAAAAATTTGAAAAGAATTATTAATTTATAATCGCATAACTATGAGTGCGAAAATTTTTAATATGGTGCAACACTCGTTATAGTCATTTGCAATTCTGCATCGCGATCATGATACATTTCAATTTTCATAGTGACTTTACGTTCTATATCCTAGCGGTCAATATTACGACACAGCAGAAACGTCCAAATTAATGTCGCATATATACACGATGTATACATTAATGTAACGAACGAACAATGTACTTGCCACTCTTGTGAGTTTTAAGCTTCAGCAATTTTGAACTCAATCACCCACGTATATATACACACATTCGCATAATTTTTACGCGCAATGGAATATTGTATGCGTTTTTTTAGGATCGTTTTTCGAGATCGGTAAATATGGATAGAACAAACACAAACAATATGTGCGTTCAACAATTCACAGTTTTCACATTTTAAAAGCATGACGCGTGATTATCGGAAAGAATTTATTTAATGAAAAATACATATATTTTGACAATATATTATTGCAAGGAATTTTTGTAATATTTTCATTATTGCTATTAAGTTATTAAAATCTAAAAATTTCTAAACAAGAAGGAAAGCACAAGGATCATTGAACTTTGAATAGACAATGTAGAATATAATATAAAATATGATTATATGAAATATTTGGAATCATCACATTACAATTGCAGCTTACTTTAATTCTCGTCGCAGGATAAAACAAAATTGGAGATCGCGATAACGATGATGTATACGGCATACTTCACGTATGTTGCGGGATTTTCGGTACGACACGAAGGAATAAAAGCGATGTAAAGAACCGTAACGTTTACGTTGTGCTCTCAATATATATATATGTATGTATGTATGTGTGTGTGTGTGTGTATGTATATAAAACATACTACTAGCAGCTATGCCTCTCTTGTAGACAGACTCCTGCAGACTATCTTAGGAGAACGTGCAAGATGCGGGCAAAAGTAAGACAGAGAAAGAGAAAGAGAAAGAGAGCGTATGGGAAATAAATTACTGCCAGCATCTGGTGATAACTGGAAAAGTTATCATACGTGCTACCTCTTTCACGGACGCCACGTACGCACGGAATGCCTTGGTCCTCTAAGTTTTCTCCTGTCTGTCCAACGAACATTGCTCTTACGACGGATAAGGGACCGCCTGCTGGAGGACTGGACAAATCTTTGTTCTCCGCTTTAAAACGTGCTCTTTGCGTTAGATCAGAGATATTATTCTTTTTAAAGTGACACGGGAATACATAATTCGCGAACGATCTTGATTTGATTACTTTTTGACATTTAGTATATTTACAATAGCAAAGTAGCACAGAGTGAAGCACGCAGACATTGTTCGCGTAAAAAAAGAGAAAATTACCAAAATACACTTTGCGATATTCGCGGTAGGAAAGGCTCGATAAATCCGATCATCCCCAATTTCCAAGCCATTCTCCCTAACCAGGAAATTATTTTCGGTTGAATGGAGAGCGATGGACGAGTCGCAATTTTCGGTAGCCGGCCCGTGAAAAACGTCACGCGTGTTCCGCGCATAATCTTCGACGGATTTGCACACGCGAGTGACCAGGGAAGGCCGTATCTGCCGATGACACGCCTTGTCGAGGGTGCGTGTGAAATTTAATAAATTGTCGCGCCGCCCGCGCCGTATCGTTCCCGCCGTGGAAAAAGCGTCGAGTATATTCGTCGTGTCACGTCGCATAATTCAATCCGACCGACCGACCGACCAACCGACCGGCAGTCCGCTTTTATGAACTGGCATGCCCGAATCCAACAGATTTCTCCACTTGCTCGTTGTCGGTTTTCCACGACAACGAATATTTCGACTACGGAACTCGCTGTTCGCACGTCACCCTACGTATACGTGAGA